GCGCTGAGTCCCATCGCTACATTCAGAGCCGCACAAGCTCTTGAAGTGCCCACTTCCCCCTCGGGATGAGCAAGTCGATGCATAGCTGCTGGAGAGAACCCAAAGGGGAACAGCACTTTGCTTCCCCATATCGTAGTGCTCGTGTCGACAGCGGACACATTGCGCAGAATGCGGGGCCGTATTCGATATCTGTCAAAAGCGGCTTCATTGTCTCGAAGACTGCCAATAGAGAGGTGTTGGCGATTCCGCCCCAAGTCCTTCTTCCAGGGTATTTGAGACCGGCAGACTCACGTTATCATGTCCATTGCACCTTCGTTAAAGTACTCTGTAACGTTATCAGCCTGAAGAGCTATGAATTCGGTTCCGTCTAACCTCGATACATCTTAGGGAGCTTTTTTGATGCCTTGTCTTTCAGATCTTTGATTGAGAACACCTCAGGGTCCAGCGTTCGCCCTCGATTCGCCATGATGGTATGGTATGCGAGACCTTTGCCAAAAAGAATCCACGGGTTGCGTTCTTATGCAAACCTGTACCCTGATCGACCAGTTCCCGTAAGGAAAGTTTCTGAAGGTTTCTGATGGCTTATATACCCGCGAGCCTCCAACCGTAGCCTAGGCTAAGGTTGGTCCACGCCCTTCAAGTCAAGCGGAGGAAGATCCGCGAAGTTGATATTCATACCACAACAGGCAACGCCCCACTCAAGGACAACTCCGCCCTGTGTTTTCGAAACCCGTTATCTCGGGCTAGTAAAGGAAATGCTGAGTTGGCAACCTAATCCGCGCACTGTAAACGGACTATTTCTGACGTGCTATCTTCTCAAACCCTGCGCACAAAAAAAATGGTTAGCAAAGGATAGCCTGTTCTTACATGAGTTCCTCGATTATCACGGGGCATTATCACAAGCCTCGTCCAATCTGGTTAGGCCTATGAACTTTTGAGGCCAGCTCAAGCTTTTGAATCCTCACATTAGTGGTCTCAATGTGTTAGAATGCAGTCCGGTTCATCCTTTTGGCAAAGATGATGATCAACAGGGGCCTTGAGATTCAGATCCTGAGTCCTTGTGCCTTCATTCATCCTATGCGCTACCAGGGTTCATGTTTTCATAAAGACAATTGCGCCAGGGGGAGGTATCGTCCAGCCGTGACTCACCTACTGTTTTCACTCCTTTCGTACTCGTTGGGTTGATCTCACCTATTCATCTCACTCCCAATTCTGAGATCAACGCAGTCGCCGTCTGCTGAAGATCATTGAAGACTAACCGGAAGAGACATGAGGACGATACATCAGTCCATCATTTCGAAATCCCAGCTACAGCCAAAATTAAATAGACTTGTGTGTAAAGGGTTGCGCTAGGCTGCTATTGGGTTCCCACTGCGTTTGAATAGTAGAAAGAAAAAGCCTCGAGGTCCGCCGGGCTCTATGCAGTGGTCACTCACCGATGCGATCCTGTTGATCGACCACCTTTGGAATTGGGACGTCTTGTTTCGAGTGGTCCAACGGCCGCTATTAGACGAGCATCTATTTGGCCACCCGAACGCCCCGTCGTACAAGGTGTCCAGTATTAATTGCTTGCCAATGCGACGAGGCACCACCTTCAATGTGAGCAGTCGGGACGGCTACTTGATCAGGCAGTTGCTGCATCCAATTATCAAATGTCACAGAAGCCACACCGACACGTTTTCCCAAACAGTAGCGGGTGGTGTCAAAGATGTGCTTAGTAACGGTAGTTGATTTGAACCAACAGACCAAGCAATGTCAAGCTTCGTGATACCTCGTATAGCTCTAGTCCTCATGGCTGCCGGAAGCATCAAGTGGGAAGGGGTCGACAGCAATCCCCGTGATAGGAGATGGTTATTTCCTCATTGAGAGATCGGTTACAGACGCACAGGAGCATAACACCGTTTGGCGATGGCTGCATCGTACCATGCTCTACTCATGATGCTCAGTTACCCAAGAGACCGTGGCGCCCAACGAAACCCTGCTTACAGCATCTGGCAAAGATATTTGAGTTGCTGTGATTACCATATATGAATCAGTATTGGAAAGGCGCATGTGGCATATAAATCTGGGTGTCTCTCCCATCTCTTCATTCCTCGTAAGGATGCCTTACAGCGTTGAACATGTCGCAAACCGTCGTCTCCAAGGGGATATTCCATGGTCTTCCGACCTTCCCAGATTACGAAGGGAAGAAATTGCGGATCATTGTGACTGGGGCAAATGGCATCTCCGGTTCGGCAATGACCAAGGTGCTGACTGAGGCTCCGGAGAGATGGAAGAAGATTTATGCTCTGTCACGTCGTCCGCCATCGGGCCAGACCGCCCCCAATGTCAAGCATATCGCAATAGATTTCTTGGAGAGCAACCCAGAACAAATTGGCCAGACCCTGAGAGACAATGGAGTTGAAGCGTAAGTCTTTCCATATCAAGCCGATCTCGCTGACAAATTAGAGATTATGTGTATTTTGCCTCATACGTTCAGCCACCTCCCCTTGAAGGCCAAAACTTGTGGAGTGATGTTGAAGAAACAACCAAGCAGAACGTGGCCTTGTTGTCCAACTTTTTGGGTGCCCTACCCTTGGCGAACATAGCTCCAAAGCGTATCTTGCTCCAGACCGGTGCAAAGTACTATGGCTTGCACATTGGACCAACACCGATACCGATGGAAGAAGAAGATGCTCGCCATGGAAGTCAGGGAAACTTTTACTTCCCACAGGAAGATCTATTAGCGGAGTTTTGCCAAAACACCAACTCCAGCTGGGTGGTTACTCGTCCATGCTTTATTCTTGGCGCCGTTGAAAGTGCAGCCATGAACATACTGTGGCCCCTGTCAATTTATGCGGCTGTTCAGGCTCATCTGGGACTTCCCCTGGAGTTTCCAGGAGATGTGGCAGCGTGGGACGTCGTCAAGCAGCAGTCGATGTCCACCTTGATTGCATACCATGCTGAATGGGCACTTTTGACACCCGAGGCCGGTAATCAGGCGCTCAACCAGTGTGATGACAGTGCCTTTGCATGGGGAAAGTTCTGGCCAACGCTTGCTAACTGGTACCAAACATCTGCAGGTCGACCAGCACCCAACGCAGATGCATATGCAACCATCACCATGCCTCATCCTGTTCCGCCTCGAGGGTTTGGTGGACCAGGGCTTGTGAAAGCGTCGTTTAGTTTTCTTGAGTGGAGCAAAAAGCCCGAGGTGTTGAGGGCATGGGAGGAATTGAAAGTGAAGCATGGACTCAAGTATACTCCCTTCGGAGAGAAAGCCATGGATACATTTGGACTCATCGACGGCGAGCTTCTTGGCGGATGGGGTCGAGTTCTCAGCATGGATCGCAATCGCAAATTGGGATGGCACGGCTTCGTGAGTACTAAGGAAGCCATCAAACAGGTGATCGCTGAGATGGTCGAACTCAAGATCGTTCCCCCCATGCTCGTGTAGCTCTAGCTGGTTTGATACGATGCAAATTGAGGTAGCAACTGGAGGGACAATCCCAACTTGTACCGAATTATGACCTTTGGTATCAGCAGGTTCGCGCGAAAAATATTCATCTTGAAATAATCCAGCCGATGAAATCAGGCCGATTGCAGCGGGAGATTTCTCCCAGATTTCTTGCTTCAATATGACCACAATGAGACCGCTTCAATCCTGCATGAAACGGAATCTTTTGGACTATAGCTAGGGGAAAAGGATCGAGTGATACCATCCACCAACGAAGAATAATACTCGTGGTCTCAATTCACGCCACCCCTATTAGAGACAAAGTTCAGTGCTACCTGATATGTGGTTGAATCGTTCGACGTAAGTGTCAAGGGGAAAGCCAAGTCTTTTGGGCCTCTCGCCCATATGCTTCCATCTTGCTCTCGCGGGCATACCGAGTGCAGTTTTAATTGTCTGTAAGCAATAAGGCATGCTGATTCTGGGCAGGGAATAATATGGCAAAGCGTCTGAGAAATTTTGTCCAGAAATTGGGGCGCAGGGGGATCTCGGCCCATCTCGGGGGGCTTTGCCAGTTGTCTAATAATCAACTTGTTAGCGAAACCTGGAGCAAAAAGGGTCTATCGGGTTTCGAGCCGTGGTCCATAATGAACATTCGCCATTAAGAATCAATCCGAGCCAAAGTTGCATTGTTGCAATGAGCGAGAGAGATGGAGTGGCCACTGCCCAAGCAACCGAGCTTGTGCCAATGCTCTTTTTCACCTACAAATACCCACAGAAGAGGGCAAGAAAAACTCGGTTTGTATACCATTTACTGATGCGAAACAGTACTGTTAAATCGTCCAACAAGGTTGATTGTGAGCAAGACAGTTTCGGGAAGAGCAGATCGATGCTAGCGGTGGTGGTTGAAGCTGCCAACGCAGCTGCCTATTTAATAGAGTGGTTTGAGTGGTGCAAGAGTGGTGCCACCAGTGCAGGAAATGAGAAGGGGGAAGCGGGAAGCTGGAAGTTTTTGTCAGACGACTGGATATAATACCTTGCTCAGCTGACACAAGCAGAATTTGAGATGATATGACTCAGTCAGACAAAGGAATTTTATGGCTGTTCATCTCATCCCTGTCCGGACCCGTCATGGCCCGGGGCTTTTGGCCCCCTCTAGGCTTGATGATCTGAGCCGCAATGTGAAAAGAAACGGCGCCCGAGCTTTGTTTCATGTGGCAGCACGGGGCCGAAAAGAAATCCGTCCAACCTTGATGCAGCCAGTATCGTTCTCTGCCTTAACCACTGAGCCATCTGCGAAACTTGTACTCGGTATGGGTAGGGAGCACTTTGTACCTTATCAGTCGGCCCACGCGCAACCATGTCTCTCCCTAGATCTCTACTGTTGAGCAACCGTTTCACCCTCTCACGCTTGCGCTCTTCGCAAGTCCTTCGTTTCTGTCCAAATCTGAGCACTCTTTTAGTTCCAGAACAGTCCATGGCATCGACCCGTGTACGATAGCACCACAGGTGGGCCGTTTCCCTGTCCAACTACTCTGGCTTTCCCGCGTCCCTGAACACGTTCATAATGGATAACTTTCGACCTAAAGGCTATTCGCGTCTCGACTTTGGCGGTCCAAGACCCCATGACGCTATTACTGAAATCGAGCTACAGCATCCCCGAAATGCACCGGAATTGACGACGGCTGAGCCCTCTCAAAGTTCTGCCCTGCTCATCTCTCCGAACATTTCAGGGCCTAGAGAGTTGGGGCGTCGGACAAATACACGATGGGATCCGTTATTCTTGAGGCGTTGGATACTGATTGCCTTTGCTCTCTTTTCCGCTGCTGTCATTGCTGCTCTGCAAGTAGTTTACACTGTCTCGCAAAATAACCATGGAATCGCTACGAGTAGCGACAGCGACCATTATCTGTGGACTTACGGGCCAACAGCTGTGTTTGTGGTTGTCACTGTTCTCTGGCGTCAGGTTGACTATGCTGCAAAGTCAATCCAGCCATGGGCGGAAATGGCCAAAGGCCCTCAACGAGCAGAGCACAGTCTTCTTCTGGATTATGTTACGCCGCTCCAAGTCTCGTCGTTCTGGAAATCTGTGCGACGCGGCCACTTCGCCGTCTCATCCAGCATCGTTGTCTTCCTCCTCATCAAAGTCATAACTGTCTTGAGTACTGGTATGTTCAGCCTCCAGTCGGTCCGGAAGAACGGAGTGCCCACCTCAATGGCAATAAATAATACATTTGACGGTACGCGCTTTCACGACGCAGAATCGGTGGACTCGAGGGCTGCATATGTCGCCTACGGCCACAAGGCCTATAATATCAGTCTCCCTGTTGGTACGACTGATCAGTATGCTGTTCAAAGTTTTTACCCCGGCGACGGATTCGTTAACGGCAGTCTAACATATTCTGCCGCGGTCGATGTTTTCAACGCCAATCTCAGTTGCGAATCTGGGGTACTCAAGCACACCACGGCTTTTGACGAACTTTCCACCGCTCCGATAGCCGCATACTACAACACTTCGGTGACACTTCCAGGCTGCCAAATATTCAACGCATACCTTGATGCCCCCAATTGGTTCTACATGCAAAATGACACTACTCACCAATTTGGCTATCGAGCATCATTCCAGAATGTGACCTGCTCAAACCTCGCAATAGATGATCCTACAAGGTATCGGTACATGATTGCGGCTACATATTCAGAGGGCTTCAGTCAGGACAACAACACTATGCTGAACTCGTCCAACATCGTCTGCGTTCCATCCTACTCCGTTCAGTCGGCAATGGTCACGCTCGACACACAGGGAAACGTCAAATCCGTCAATTTGACCGGAAAACCACGTCGCCTCAATAATCTCAGCGCCGTTGACATTGCTGATGGAGTTCTGGCAACCACGCAGCAAGCCTCTGCAATTTCTACTTCGACGTCATACGACGTGGCGTTGGATGTCTTTACGACCATGATGCAGCAGGATACAGTCAATTTCAAGGCCGAGGATCTCCTTGATACTACTTATCTTAATTCCACTGCTAACAGAATATACGGACAAATTGCGGCGCAGCTCGCGAACCTTTATTTGCTTTCTGACAGCTCCAAAAATGCAGCGCCGGTCATAGACGGGACAATCTCAAAAGACGAGAACCGTCTCATCGCCAGGCAGATTCCAATCAGGATCATGCAAGCTGTCGCCGCAGTGATGATCCTGCTCATTGTCGTCATCTTGTTTGTTCGCCCAAGAGGCGTAGTGCCAAGGAGTGTCGACTCCATAGCTGCAGTTGCTGCCATTCTCGCCCGGAGCCCAGCGCTAGAGGCCCGTCTTCGAGGTACTGGCCACCAGAGCTTGAGTGAGCTTCGCGAGACTCTCGCTCCGCACAGGTTCATGACCGCCACTGGTTACGAAGACGGAGCCCGAACCTTCTCGATTCGAATGTTCACCCAGGTCCAGTCAGGTTTACATGGATCGCCGGACCGCGGTATCTTGGTTCCTCAGAACATCAAATGGACTCGACCTTTCATTCTGCGAAGGATTGGCATGTCGCTCACTATCCTGGCGTCGATCGCTGCGATAATCGCTCTGGAAACCCTTCTGTCTCAATCACGAGCACATGACGGCCTCGGGACGGTGAATGACGATAGCGCAACAAGATATTCATGGTTGTATGTGCCAGTTTTGATCTTTCTCCTGCTCGCAACACTCTTCAACATCATGGACTTTGAGATAGAGTTCACCGAGTCTTTCCACGCCCTAGCAAAGGCTGATTGTGAAGCAAAATCTTCGATGCTTTGGTACCCACTGAGGCACATCTCTCTACACGCCACCTACAACGGTCTTAGACACAGCCGGTTTGCCTTGACCGCAGCATCTGTCTCGGCCGTTCTTGCTCCGCTTCTGACCATTATTGTATCGGGCCTATTCACGACCCAGGCAACCACGCAAGGCATAGCCGTTCAGGCGAATGCTTTGGACTGGTTCAACACCACCACGTTGGCCGATACTTCCACGAACGTCCCACTCCTCGTCATTGAAGGTAACATGTCATATCCCCAGTGGACCTATTCCGAGCTTGCGGTGCCCCAGCTTAGTCTTGTTGGCGATGATGCAGACCAGCTGCTTCGCCAAGGTGGAGCTCTTTCCGTCGACACGCCCGCGGTCCGAGGGGCGGTAGCGTGCAATGTTGTCCCCGAGGATCGAATCATGAATACCGCCATTTCAAACGGTCAGCTCTCTTCCAATATCAGCACGCCGGATCTCTGTGGAAACACCGGTTCTATCAGTGAAGGAAATACATGGCTCTTCAGCTCTATGGAGGTCCCAGTGAATGCTCCCGGGTATTTTAGTTCGAATTTGGTCTTGGGTTTTCTTGACACTTGCCCTACGCTTGCCTTGTACTACGGTCATGTCACCGACAACAAAATTGACCACTTTATACCGGTCTTGTGCACGCAATATCTCGAACGGGTACAAGCGAACGTGACCTTCAATCTTCCTGATTTCTCAATCTCTACTGATCCGGTGGTGCACCCAAACTCGGCAGTCAACTTTTCCAGATTCTATACTGGATTTCCCGCGCTGCAGGTCTTGAACATCTCCTCGACAGCCGACAAGCTTGACGACACTTTTAACGCCATGGTTTATGGCAAGGATGGAACCCCGACGAACGAGCTGTTGGACGAGAGCACATTGATCGCATCCTACACGCACTTGTATCGCCAGTACATGGCTCAAGTCGTCAACAGCTTCCTCCGCGCAGATTTCTCTACTCTATCCACCAACGCGACGGAGACCGTGGTCAATCCTCTGCAGGCGTCTTACATCAATCCCCGTCATTTCCGTCTCGTGCAGTCGCCTCTCTCCACGCATCTACTAGTGGGTGTTGTCGGGGCATTGTTGATCTGTGCGCTCGTGGTCTTCATCACGATTGATATGCGCAATGTTCTGCCCAAGCCCGTCGGCAGCATCGCTGCCGTGGCGAGCTTGCTGGCAGGTTCCCGCATCGTGGACCCGAAATCTGGCATGGTCCCTCCGGGTTCCGAATACTGGTCAGACGACGAATGGGAGAAGAGTGGCGTCTGGCAGAGCGAGATGTTCAGGATGGGTTGGTGGAATAAATTCCAGGAACCGGGCGACTCGTGGAGAGGAAGACAGAACGGGATCACCATGGGACCAGGTGAGGGTCAAATCCATGATTTCAGCCACGGGGACAGCCTAGAACTTCCCGCTTCCTTCCGAATTGATGCGCGCCCGAAAGTCGGGTGACATGTCTGCTTATGAACGAGATGCTGATGATGATGTTGATGATGATATAGCGAACGATCTTGAAAATAGCATGTTTGAAAATCATCACACCGTATTGCGACGAGTCCCCGTTCACTGAGACCTGGTCACCTGAAAATGACTCATCCAATCAGAGGCCACTTGTTCGTCGCGCAGCCATCGCTTGTAAATGGTAATCGGGGAAATTGTGCAGGCAAGCATGCGTCCCCCTCTCGCCAGTGGACTATAACACTTGAACGCTGGTCCGTGGACCCAGAGGCGGTAAGTCAGGCATCGTTGAAGGGCCAGGGAAGTATCCTGCAGGCCCGAGGGGTTCGGGATGGTCGAGATCAATGATCATGTCGAACCAGGTATATGGTGTGCGCCTGGAAGGGTGGTGCACTCCAGGTCCTCTGTCGTTGGCTTGGAGGCTCGGCTTTGTGTCTAGCGCTATGGGGTCTTCCTGCGTGTGATCTGTCCCATAATCATCGGTATCTTCTTGCTCGATCTCGTCGCGTGGCTCTGATGTCTCGACGTTCCCGTTCTCTTTTCTGGCGCTGTCGGGCTGAGGATCTGGGATCTCACTCTGCGGACTGGTCTCAGCGTTTTCACAGTCTGCTTCCTCATCAGCGCGCTCGCTTCTGTCGCTCTGTTCACCCCACACGGAATCGGACACAGGCGACGCGCTGGGATCAATGTCGTGTTCGTCTTCCAGAGCTGTACTTTCGACTTGAGCCAGAAGAGAATGCTGCGTCTCGCCTGCCCCAGGAGCGTCGTCATCTGTGTTCTGCCGGACGGAGTCGCTGGGAGCCAAGTTTTCATGCCCCTGCTGCAGCTGCTGTGGCCCCGCCCCCTTAGGAGCAGAGATTGTGTCCGAGCTGTGGTGGAAAAGGCCCCATCCTTCCTCCTCCTCGGGCTGCTGCTTTTTCGGTCGCGACGTGGACTGGCCCATTCCAGCTCCTAGTCCATGGTAATATTGGTGTCGTTGTTCGGTTCTGTCATATGATGGTGGTGTTTCGATCGAGGGATAGATCATGTTCTCGTGCTCAGCATAACCTCCCCGCATGTGCTGCCCGACAACGATGTGGCATTGTTTGACGATGACGACGACGACGAGGCCCACAAGGAGGATGAAGATGGTACATGTCAGTGGGGAAGGGAGGTGATCTGCACGGGGCAGATTCACCGAGGCAGCGGAAATGGTAGAGAAGAGGGAACGTGTTGGCAAGCTAGCAATACTATGTACCGGCATCACCGGTAGCTATGTCCCTGTCTGCCTTGGTGCTACGTGCGCGGTTGGGAAGACATCATCGTGCTCGACTACCTTGCTGACGCGCGACGGATGCTTCGCCTTTTCCCATCTCATCTGTGGGCCAGGCAAGCAGGCTATAGACGCTCGCCACGTATTTCTGTCGGGCAACAACCTTCGCTGCCAAACAGTTGTATCAGAGCGAAAAAAGACTCTATTTACTCCGCACAACTTGATTGACTTGTTCAGTCCTCAGAAGCCTCTGATCTAGCTTCGTTCAGGGCCAACTGGCTTCGATGACAGGCCCTTCCACTGCATAAACGGATTGGCCAATGGGCGGCCTAGTTGACCTCAAAGACCAGCTTCATGCCAGCCCCCCGGAGCGGAGATCCGCCGGATCTGCAAGCCTCACCAGCCTAAGGTACATAACCAGACTCGCCAAATATCTCCTACTGTATGTTTCGGCAAAAGTTGACCTAGAAAGAGAAGCGAAATCTAAATCAGAGTCTTGTCCCATTTTGACCTGAACCTCCACCAAGGCGTGTGATTCAGTCAGGATCTTCATCACTCCTTGCTTCTTCCTCCAGCGGAGTCCGGACCAATTCAATTTCAACCACGGCTTTTCCCTCAACCTTGGCTGCCAGGCCATTGTCGTCTTTGTCGAAATATATGGCCCACCTCTCGTCGTCCTCCTCGACCGCCACAAATCCCTCCCAGCTATTGAAAGCTATCCTCCACTCATTCAACGCCTGGCCAGACACCAAGGTCACAGGGCCAGTCCACTGCGGTTGAGCCTCAGCACGGATCCCATGCTGCAGACGGTACGTGTCTTTGTTGACGAAGATCCAATTGAGCATGTTTTCGGCATTGATGGTGCTGACGATGCCGTCGTATGATTTGTCCGGATATGGCAGAAGATAGCCAGTGAAGGGGTGCTTTCGGGACGCAGCTCTAGGTTCCAGAAAAAGATAGCCATCATCCAAGACAACTCTCATGTCCTGAAATTGTTCTTGACGCTTGGCACTCATTCGTTTGGTCGCTCGTCCACTGAGGTGGCATTTTTCCGTCTTGAGCTCGAGCTCGCTCTCTTCCTGTTTGCGTTGACTCTGCTCCTGCAGCTGGATCGTGGACGTTGCGATCAGAGGCACTGTGGCTGCCAGAGTAATCAAAGAGAGGACCATTGTTGCTCGTCGCAGAAAGGTTAACCAACAATCCAAGTCGAATGAGATGCGGGTACCTAAGTAGGTCAGGGGACTGGCAATCTGAAGGCGGGTGATACACCGCTTGATCGGCAGAGGGGGTTGTGCTGGCACGCCGGAAGCGGGGGGTTTGACGGTCGATCTTGTCAAGATGTGTGTGGCGGTGGTTGGTGTCTTTGACCTGCAGCCTTGTGGCGGAGACGGTGTTGCTCGTCTGTCCTTTTGACGTAATGGTGACCTGCCAGCTTCTCCGCCTTGTTGCAAGCGAGCGCAAGGTCCCCTGCTGGGTCCCTGGTGGCCTTTTCCTAGTGTTTCCTTGTTTTCTTCTGCCCTGGTGTCAGGAGCTGCCAGAGCTCTGACAGGTCACAGGTGGAGCTCGCCTGTCGACACCTGAACACTCGAAACTTGGTTCCTGCATCAAATATCCAATGAGACACCTCTTCGGCAGCGGCTACCGACCAAGCAAGTCAGGACTAACGCATCACATCGACGATAGCAAGCCACTAGAGTTGGCAAGAGCCACCAGAGCTGCTTTATCCCGCCGGTCCTGCCATCCGATAGTTCACGGCGCTAGCATGTCTAGACACTCAGTGCTGATGCGAGGAACGACATGAACCCCGACAACCCTATATCACCGACTGTCGACACTGCTCCGCAAGACCCGGACATCTTTGATGACGATAATTCTCTCCTACCTGACCACCAAACCTCCAGCTCCTCTCGTGGAGACTGCCAACCTCTAACAAGTTCTCTTCAAGCCCCGACTTCACCGTATGGATCCTTGAACCTGTCAATTTCCCAGAGTGGGAATGTCGTTGCTGACTTGGGAAGGACCGAGAACCGGAAGCGGCGCTGGACAATAATTTCAAGCACGGTAGCACTATCGGATATCCGGGTGACCACGACACCAAATAGAAATCCGGTCGGCCACATCGAGAGACAGGTCACAACATCTCTTCATCATCCAAGAGCGAGTTGCAAGCCGGACCTGCAGTCCCAAGAAGCATTGTTCCATCTGCCAACAATACTGAGCAGAAGTCGAACTGCTGATAGCGTGAAGAATCCAACCCGGACGCCAACCTGATAGCTCGACTCCCCCCCGACGAGTCGTATCCTCTGGGAAAATCCGAGAAGAGAAACCAGCCAGACCAAGGAGAGGAGACAGGAGCAATGTCGGGCGAAACCAAGGACATGTGAGTTCAAAATGCCTTTTACTTCTTTGAGCGCGTCTGTTCTGACCATCCTCAACCTAGGAATGACAGCTTCGACAGTGCCCCTGGAGGTCGCAACTCGGGCGAAGTCGCAAAGCCTGGCGAGGGTAATGTTGTAGACAACACCCCGGACTATATCCCCAAAGGGTTCTCCAAGAAGGACATTGAGAATATGGGAGGAAGCTTGAAGGTGCATGTGCGACTGGCCCTTGAGGTGGACATCCGGGTTATTGCCAAAGTCAAGGGTGACATCTGCATCGGCATCCTGTAAGGAAGTCAACAGCGCCCCTGATATGATGTGCTGACTGGTTCACCTGGACGGAGGCCACCACAAGCCGGTTAATATATAGTAAGAATATACAATCTCAAGTCACCTGCCTGGTATCGAAGTTGCATGTCAAGCTTCGATCTTCGAGCTTCGATCTTCGACCCACTTGTAAAGGCCGTCGACTGTGGCGCATAGCGCGTGAAGAGCAAAAAGCACAAAGCGGACAAACCCGCGTCTCTTTTGCCTTGTTTGCCTGTTCAAATCTTCAAACCGTTGCACAACCAAACTTTCGCCCAGAGCATCGATCCTCCCTTGATCTGCTAATATCATCGCAAATGTCTCCACCACCGACAATTGAATTAACATCCTTACCTTGGGTCAACGGTGGCCAGAACAATGAGTCAGATAGGCGGCTTCAGTCTTCGCGTCGACATCAACACACCGCACTTGCTTCGCACAGGAAGAATAGAGAGCTCCGGAGCTTGCACCGCAAGAGATTGCGCAATGAAACCAGTTCTGTACTGAGTAGTATCTCATCTGCATCTGGCCGACAGCTTTCAACACTGGAGGCCCACACCCCATGGAATATGACGAGGAGTGCTGCTCTCCTGGGGACTGATCCCTTCGCTACTGGCTTCGACATACATCCTTCCCCTAGGACGATACTTGACACAACCCGCTGGGGTCCACTCAACCTTTGCGGCGGGCCTGGAAATCTCTCACGATTTCCAGAGAGCCTTCGATGACGGTAGGGACGAGGTTTGAGCCTTGGAACAGTCGTGGGTTGAGATGGTGTTGAAGCATTGATTCATCAGTTGCCGGCATTTGCTTTGGCCACGCACGATGCTGCAATCACAAAGATTCGAGAAGCCGCCGTCCGCACCTCGCTATCAGCTCCGCACTGTCATTTTGCCACCATATACGCAGGCGGATGTTACAGGTCTTACTTCGGTTGCAGAACACCTCGTAATGAGATGCTCCAACCTCAATCAAAACAAGAAGCGCTGGGACATCTTCGAAGAGCCGTGCAGGACCAGGGGGGTATTGCGTCAGATGAAGTCCTCTGGACGATAACCGTTCTGGCAATTCATGGTTTTGTCCGTTCTCTGAAGCATCCGCGATTACCGCTCCTGTGTATAGAGACAACGAATTCTATTCCAGTATGGAATTTGAACGAACCCATTTGTATGCGTTGAGGATGCTCGTTAGCCAAAAAGGAGGTCTAGAGAACCTTGCAATACACGGCCTGAGCAACATAATATCAATGCAGATAAGTGTGAGGTCTCCCCCCTGGCCAGCGGTTCACCGATTTAGGGTCGACACCTTTCATTCTTTGATGAGTCTTACCAAACCGGTATTTTCACCTCTTTATTCAACGCCATACCTCGTCGCTTCATTGCAAGAGACTTGGGACGACGTAGCAAAGAGTCGGTTTGCAGCCCGCGGAGATGGATTTGTGTTTTTGCAAGACATCCTCGGTGGCCCTCAGCTGTGTCAAATTATTTGTCAAGTTCGGATCCTTCTGGAGACATACTCGCTTTCCCTACGTGACCCCCACAGAAGCCCAGATCTCATTCTCATGCTTCATACTCGTCGCTCCTTACAGCACAATGCTCTGCAACTTGGACCCGAAGGAGATTATTTGTTTGAAGTTGCCCGTCTTTCTGCGATTGTTTTTGTAAGTCCTTAGCCCCTGTCGAGTTCATGTTCTTGATCTGGCCTTTTTGTTGCGTTGCAACTGTTCCAAGGCATGAGATCACTGTCTGAGATTTGCCGTGATTGCAACGCTGACTCGCTGGGACTGGAAGATGGCCGAACTCGGTTGGACATTGCCGGTCATTGGTCGTTTCCACGAAGGGGTCACGAAACTCCTCTTAGAAACCTTGGACGAATGTGCAATTGGTCAATACTGGCAGACGCATCCCGAATTCCTCTTATGGGTGACAGTAGTTGGCGGACTTGCTGCGCGGCAAGGTCCTCGGGTGTCAAGCTTTGTTGCAAAGCTGCGACACTCAAATGTGGTCCCAGAAAAGGATTCATGGAGCTACGTGAAAGGCGTGGCGCAGAAATTCCTGCCTCTGGATTATCAGCTAGGAGACCTATGCCATGCATTTTGGGACGAAGCGTGCGAATTGTTTTCAATGAACCAATCACCTGTTGCGACAAGCATCGCGAATCATCAACAAGGTGGCAACGTGTCTACAGCACATGAGAACAGATCAGGCCATGGACTTGCCCATGATCGGAACACCAAAAGCTGTTGGACCTCGTCGACTTCGCCAGGATTGTCTTCGTACGCTCATTGCCACCCTTGAGCACAGGCTGTTCAGAGCCGCCGGGTCAAGCACAAGGTCACCAAATTCACCATCCAAGTCTATCGTCCCCTTCTCTGGTGTTGGGAAGCGGTGTACGGAGTATACGGGGTAACGAGCTATTATGTCGACCCATTGAGATTCCATTGGGCATAATTTCTGGGCATTTTCACTATTCAGCAGGCCATGTGCTCGAGGGAAGGTATGCCAATTGATCTCGACATCTCCAAGTCTTTTCTTGCTATCTGGAGGCCGATCAGTCTCGAAAACGTGGGTCCATAATTTTGTCAGAATTTAGGAACTGGGGTGTCCTCCACCACCAGACTGGCACAGGACTGGAACTATGTCCAGTCTTTCGGACCGCCGGAATGTACTGCAAACCGGCTACCGTGACCAATCGGACCAAGAAAGAATAGCCGGCCTGGCTCGGTCTGGTGAGCGCGGCATAGGATGCGGGTCGAGACTCAGGCCATGTCGATACAACGGCAGAGAGAGTCGTACTGTACGCCGACCTAGCCTAAGACGGCTTGACGACTTCTCAGAAGCACAGGCCGACCCATGCAGACTTCACCTCATGATGGCTAACGCAATCTCAGAACGTATAGAGGCCGGTCTCAAATACCCGTGGACCTCGATCTTAACCTCATCATCTTGTGGCCCACATGAGCGGCCTTGAAGTCTGTCTGACCCTCTATTGCCATATTAATCATTCCAATCTGCATCAGGAAGAGGGATCATCGACTTCGACCTAGATAGAAGCCCCTCAAAGCTATTCAATAGGGGGCAGTACTCACCCAACCGCAAACCGAGAAATTGTATGCCTTCCCGGAAAGCTGAGGGGTGAACTGCCCAGCCCTCGGCAATAGGAGCTTCCCTCTTTCCGCTTGTGAATTTCTCAGAACTTAGTCCCGCCGCTCTGTCTCATTAGCAAACGCGCAAACGTTAACCCGAATTAACAACATTTGGGGATTGCTTCTTGTCAAGATCCGATAACCCTGTCACCGAAGAAATATCAGAACTGCAGGACCGAGTCAAAGGTCAATCACATCAGTTATGGCTGAGCGGCGGAAAAGAGGGAGGCCCAGGATTGATGCGAGCCTCGATAACTGGTTCGGCGTCGAGGATGCCAGAGAGAGGAAGCGGATACAAGATAGACTGGCGCAGCGAGCGAGAAGTAGGTCGTTGCATCTCTGTCCCCTCTCCATTTCTCTTTGGCCACTAGCCCCACATCCATTGCGAAAGGTGGCACACGGGTCTCTGAACAAATTGTTGATGACCAGGCCACCAGGAAACCGCCAGCTGGTCCGAGTGAATAAGGTGACCGAAACCGTCAGCGACGGTGGTATCATCCCTGCTACAACTCCTCGCCATAGGCCGACTGGCCCTTCGTGGCAGACAGGCACCGTTGCAAAGGAAGTTGCAGACACGCCACCAATATCGGACCCGTCGCGTCAAGCGAACACACTCGAGGTTGTGCGTGCGACCCTGTCTCTAACAAATCCTTCTTTGATGCGAAATGCTCTCTACGGAATGACCACAGACCACCATTTCCTTTCTTGGCCGGCCTGGGCCATCTATTCCACCCTGGGCCAGCACGGCGAAATGCAAGGCACGAGTTGCAGCGACTGTTGGGAGGAAGCAAAGTCGCCTCTAGAGTATCTGGCTCTTCCAGATTCGCTCCGGCCATCACCCCTGCAGCTAGCCATGCCTCATCAGCGCTGGATTGACCGGTTCCCCTTTCCTCGACTACGGGACAACATGATCTTGCTAGGTGGCCTGATTGATCTAAACGAGTTCGTGCGAGACCTGTTTGGAATGGCCAGTCTGATTCTCCGACAGGAGGTCCACCGCGCAACGTGGGATCCAGAGGCATGGGCCATGGGTGCTGAGTTCTCCTCTAAATGGGGATATCTGTTCCAGTAAACATGGCACGGTGTCTGGGCCATTTCTGTCTCGATCCAAAGGCGCCTATTATATCGAAGGAGGGCTGGGCCAGCCTCGCTCGGGGGTTATTGCCAATAGGGCGAAGAGCCGCTGCTAAGCGACCGCTAAAATACTTGGCCAACGCCACTGTATTTTGTCAGAATCTGGTCCCTCCCAAATGCGTCGCCAACATTGGGCGGCCAGAAATGCAACGAAATAGCAATTCTCCCCGTTGCCAAATCCGCAGCAGTCCGTATAGATCCCACTCCGACCGCTCTCCAACCCGGTTGAGCTTCTCGACCCCAGCTTCCACGCCCGAATGGCACTCCAGCTTCCCCATGGGGCAGCTTATTCGATGCTGAATTCCCTGCATCTTATCGTCTCTCTTAGAAGGGCGAAATATCGACGGGACTCTAGCTGAATTGGCTGGAGCTGCCTCGGTGGCCCGGCTATTGTACGCTTACTTCAAGCGTCCAAGAGATATAAGACTAGAGCAGTGAGAACTCATACCGTGACAGAAATGCACACCGAGCTCCGAGCTCACCTCCTCTAATCAAACTTTTTGTGGCGCAACATGGCGAGGCTTACTCTGTACAATATCGTCATCGGCATGATCGTCTCCATTGGCACTTTTGGTTACGGATATGGCTTCGGAGCGTTTATAACCAGTATCGGCCAACCTGGCTTCTACAAGGACTTCAACCTCGATCGTGAGTGTCCTAGCGTGATTTTTGACAACTTCTGAAAATGCTGATAGACGTAATAGCGACGAGCAAGTACACAGCAAAGTGAGCGCGATTGGCCCCCATCTGTCTCGCTGTCTGACCAACGGACCTTCCAGCATCCTGGGCGCTGTCAATGCCCTATTCGCGGCCGGAGCTGCCTTTGGTTCTCTCTCCCAAGGCTGGCTAGCCGACTGGATCGGCCGCAAAAAGGCCCTCGCAGCGTCTGCCTTGTTCTCTTTGATTGGTGCTGGCTGGACGTCTGGGTCTCCATACCTGGCAATGCTCATCACAATCCGAATCCTACATGGGTTTGGGCTCGGCATGTTGATATGCCTGGTCCCGTTGTATCTCACTGAAGTGTCCCCACCACACTGCCGTGGACTCATGTCCGGCATGACAGTTATGGGATTTGGTCTTGGATATGTCGCGTACGTCTCATTCTCCTATTTACCATATGCCGCTAACAGGTTCCAGTGTCGCCTGGGTTTCGGTGGCAACCTATTTCGCGAAGAACGCGACCTTGCAATGGCGCCTGCCCCTTGCGCTTTCCTGCGTAGGCCCACTAGGTCTCCTTGTTGGGATATATTTCGTGCCTGGTGAGTATTGGTCCTTCTACACCGCTTCTGCGCCCCATGCCATGTGCTCACGCATTAGCATAAGAGTCTCCTCGGTACCTGTGCTGGATTGGGCGTCATGAAGTGGCTCTTGAAGTCATCCAGCGTCTGCATCGCGATGTTGATGACCCGGAAAATTCAGCTGCGCAAGCGGAATTCATGCAGATTCGTGCACAGGTGGAGAAGGATAAGGAGGAGAAATTAGGATATGTCCGCATGTTCACGAAGCCAACTTGGCGAAAACGCTCGTTCCTCGTGCTCTTCATCATGTAAGTTGTTCGGTCCGGCCGTTTGGATTTTAGAGTGAACGGCATTACCCAACAGACACTAACCTGATGTTAGGTTTGCGTCCCAAGCAACTGGGGTAAATTGCTCTGCTTCATTCGCACAATGTTGCCATTGAGCTGACCTCGTTGACGCACAGGTCAATGGTATTGCAAACTATTTGGTCCTCATCTTTGGGACGTTGGGGCTCAAAGGTGTCATGCCATTGCTCGTTTATGGTGAGTTGTATTCGAGCTCGGGACGGAGATAAAAGTGATATCATTGACAGGGCACTGACAGTCTCTGATATATAGCTATTTATTCCGTCGTTGGAACCATAGCTGCGTTCGTGGCCTGTTTCACCATGGACAAGTTCGGACGGAGGCGCCTGTTCCGTGAGTACTCGTCACCTTACTGCCCACACTCCTGCATTCTAGGACCGTGGCCGCTACCATTTGGCAGACTAACTCGTCTTCCCATTCAGTGATCGGCTTTCCAGCCCTGGCCGTTAATCTCCTCATCGAAGCTCTGCTCCAGCGGCAATATCTAGGAAAGACAAACCAGGCCGGGAATACCGCTGCCGTTGCCTGCATTTACCTCTTCATTATCCTGTTCCAATTCATCGACGCCCCGTCTTTCGTCTGGTGCTCCGAGATATTCCCCACCACGATTCGAGCAAAGGGCATCGGGTTGAGCATGTTCGCGTATTTCGTCGGGTTCATCACCTTTTCCACGCCGGGTCCGGTGGCTTTTCGAAACATGTAAGTATACTGGGTACGAGAAGGAGGGGCATCTATCATCATTCGACTTGGCATCTTGCTAACCCACCCTATCTTGGTGTGTGTAGAACCTGGCGAATGTACCTGATCTACATGACCCTCTGCCTCGTCTGCGAAATAGTTGTGTATTTCTTCATCCCCGAAACGCGCGGAAGGCCCGTCGAGGAAATGGGTGCGTTGTTCGGTGAGGAGGTCGTGTTACACATGACCTTGGACGGCCGTGGGCTTGTGGAAAAGACCGAGGGTGTGGCGTTTGAACAGATTGAAGTTGCCGGGACGAAGGGGGACTGAGCCCGGCTCGCACTCACTGCCCGAGCAGTTGAAGCCGACTACGGGCCACGGCTCAAGTACGTGCTGAAAACGGGATTACTCTCGGGCACGTCGATCAGCTCGAATTCGGGCTGGGGCGATGCACGCTGGTGAAGAGACGTTTTTCGAGGCCAAACCTTATACTCTGGAGATTACAAGGGAGGATGATCTGGACGCTCCTACTATGGACACGACGTCGGCAAGTGTGACCTCTGCAACGGCAGCGGCAACTACGTATGTCGGTTGGTTTAATCAGTTGGCCAGCCACGCTACGAATCCAACAAGAGAGCAATCGAGCGCTACCTTTAGCGCTACTCCACCGATGAATAACTTCCCTTAGTGGCACGTCTAGCTTCACTGTCTTAACGCCATTTACTTTCTTCCTAAACACTTCGCGAGTTTTACCACACGGTGGATGGTGACCTTGAGTCCAGGGCGCCAAAGCAACACATTTTAAAAACGCTATAGAGTACAAGGAGATCCTGCCGCAAATATACATGTCCGATGGGAACAGGTTACCGTACAGAGTTGCAAAAACTCCCGCACCGTCCAAGATCGGGCATTGAAGGTGGTTATGTTGTCGTGCAGGCACCTGGTCGGCTGGTCTCGCATTAACCACCGATCCCTGACCCTGATGGACCATGAGACGGAGTTCTTCAGGGCGGGAAAGAACGCAGCAGAACCTCTCCCCGCGCAGTACTTTCCGTTGGCGAAGTTGTCACCGATAAAGATGTCTGTTAATGCGACCTCTTTTCAACAAACAACTACTTGCTGTCCAACGGGCTATGCGCTCACCGCGGTGGCAGTAGGATATCATTTTTGGGAGTGGTGAATCTAAACTGCCGTGGCCGTCGAGTGTCTGTAAGCATCCATTGTAAATCCCCTCCATAAGCGTCTTCCTGCAGCGGTCAAAGCGGGAAATAGGGCCGCCCTTCGTCTGCTCGATGTGTCTTGCCGCGTCGGAGCCGCTCTGAAGCAGGGTGTTTGGCAATAGAAAAGCTATAGTAGATATAACGGCCAGAATCTTTAAAGATATGCTGAAAGGTCTGCCCGGGTTGACCCTTGAATGACGTAAAGTCCTGACGGGGACGCGCCGAGTGAGCGATCGTCCACGCAATGTGATTACGGTCGGTAGGTATAGCCTTTCAAGGGATACGATTGACGTCCGGGCACTCGGTCATAGTGGTAGTTGTCTCCGGGGCCGTATTCACCGTGAGAATTCCTGGAGTGGTCATCTCCGGTACGGGAGCTATTGCAACACCCGATGATCTTTGTGCTTTTGGCAGCTTGAGTCCACGTAGTATTGTCCCTCCTCTTCTTACAACCAATGATGCCGATGACGATGGTTGCTACCAGGGAGAAGAAACCAATTATGGTGCCCACCACTGTTCCTATCTTCGCCGTGGTGGAGAGGCCATCGCTCTCAACGGGAGCGGACTGCGGCGGCTGGGTCGTGGTTGGAACTTGTTCAATTGAGGAAGCCAGATTCGATGTCGCCACGCCTAACGCCTTCACGGCGGTCATGCTGGTGACGCCGGCTGGCATGCAAGCCGCCCCGATGGTGGCCCCGGAGTCCCAGTAGTAGTAACCAGGATTGGGCAGGACATCTCCACTGTGAGTAAATGATATATTAGAAGTTTTACCACTCCTATCGAATGTGGAACCACTTACCAACACATATACCCTGCTAAGGGTGTAATAGCGCAATCATAATCTGGCCAATACCCATACGCAATTGCCGTGCTTATAGGGAGGGCTCCAGGGTAAGAGCAGTAGGCAAGGGCAGGGTATGTGTCTGTGTCTGTGACACAAGGCACGTTGTCCGGACAGTACAGGCTATAGGCTGTGACGCGGTCAGGACAGCTCACATTGACGGGCAGAAAGAAGGATGAATGTGACTCACTGACACCTGCTGTAGAAGCATATCCGCAAATCGTGTCAATCTGACGAACTCTCAGCTCCGCCGGCTGAGTGATTGTTGTTGTAAAGGAGGGTGTACGCAAAGCTGTCGAAACTCGAGAAGGGGCGAGAGTGGTTGCCATTGTACGCACATTCATACAAATGAGATTAAAAACTGGACAGAATTTCCCCAAACTTCAGCTGAAGGGCGGCGGCACCGGGCGAAGAGAAGGGAATTTGACTCTTCGAGCATCCATGCATGGCGTACCATATTTCTCTTCCGACAGGCCTGACCTGCAGGCAGACTGGAGTTCGTAAAGACACGCCTCGTCCACGGCTAGCCCCCAATGGAGACGCGTGCCAAGTTCTCTCAGCCTGATGTTGATCCTCCGGTGCGAAAACACTTTTCA